GTGCTGACAACACCAAGTCAAGGGTTGAGATCCCCTTACCAGTCATCTTTAAAAAAAAAATTGTAGGGCCGAGCCCGTGGCACACTCAGGAGGGTGCGGCGCTGGGAGTGCAGCAGCGCTCCCGCCGCGGGACCCGCCACAGGGTCGGATCCTATATAGGGATGACCCGTGTGCTCACAGCGCTCACTGGCTGAGTGCAGTGCAGCCAGTCTCAAAAAGGACAAAAAAAAAAAATTGTAGTCAGGGGCCTGGTTCTGAGGGCTTTAAAAGAAGAAGAGTCCAGGGCCGGCCCGGTGGCGCACTGCTACAGTGCGCTGCTTGAGAGCGCGGTGGTGCTCCTGCCGAGGGTTCGGATCCCACATACAGACCGGTTCCCGCTCACTGGCTGAGCGAGGTGCGGGTGCAACACCGAGGGTTGCGATCCCGTTGCCGGTCCCGGTCTGGTACGGGTGCGACACTGAGGGTTGCGATCCGTTGCCGGACACGAAAAAAGACAAAAAGGAAAAAAAAAAAAAAAAGAAGAAGAGTCTCTCTCTCTCTCTCTGTCTCTCTGCTTCCACCATCTTGTGATGTGAGACCCCGGGTCACTGTCGCCACCACCAGATGGACTTTGGACTTCCCAGCCTCAGAAACTGTAAGCAATAAATTTCATTTTCTTTATAAATCACCCAGTCTCAGGTATTTTGTTATAAGCAACGTAAACGGACTAATAAAGAAAACTGGTACCACAGAAGTGGGGTGTTGCTTATAGCAAATACTTGAAAATGTGGAAGCAGCTTTGGAACTGGGTGTTAGGCAAAGCTTGGAGGAGTTTGGAGGACTCAGAAGAAGAAAAAGGGATGACAGAAAGTTCGGACTGTCTTAGAGACTGGTTACGTGGTGGTGAGCAGTATGCTGATAGAAATATGGACCGTAAAGACCATTCTAAGGAGGACTCAGATAGAAGTAAGAAGGAGTTTTTCAGAAACTTGGGCAAAGATCACTCTTGCTGTGAACTGGAAAAGAACTTGGCTGCGTTGTGTCCACGCCCTACGAGTTTGTGGAAGGTGGGACTTAAGAGTTGTGAACCAAAATGTTTGGCAGAAGAAATGTCTAAGCAGCAAAACATTAAGGAAGCTGCAGGGCTACTTGTAACAGCCCACGCTGAATTACGGCGGAAAAGGCATGACATAAAGCCAGGATTTAAAAGGGAAGCAGAGTGTAAAGATTTGGAAAATGTGCAGCCTGGATAAGTGGTAGAGAAGCAGAGAGCATTTTCGGAAGAAAAATTCAGTGGTGTTAAGAAGATTAACACAGGGCCAGCCCGGTGGCGCACTGCTACAGTGCACCGCTTGGGAAGCGCGGTGGCGCTCCTGCCGAGGG